GCCCTTGTGAGCCGCCCTGAGCCCATTGGGGAGGGCGGGATATAAATATGAAAAATAAATAAATAAACAGTTGCCCTCCAAGCTGCAGCTCAAGCCCCCACTAGTGATTTAGGGACCCCTCTTCAGGTCTGGATTGGCAACTAGACCCCTCGTGGCCCTGGCCTGCCTCTGACCCTGGGGAAGCAGCCAGCCGAGTGCCAGCCGGAAAGGAGAGCCAGGCTGACCCGCCTTTTCTCACCAATGGAGACGTGACCTGGTGCCCTCCCCCTGTGCCTGCGTGGTCTGGCGCTCCAGGGAGTTCAGTCCCTTAGCTGGCACGCACAGGCCAAGCACTCCTGGGAGATGGCCCAGATCCAGCCAGGCTGCTGAAACCTCCCACGCCACTGGGGTGGTGTGGCTCCTGCCACACGTGTCCCACGGTGCCCCTGGCTGGCCTTCCTGCCCGCTCTCCGTGAATAATGAAGCTCCTTGCATGCCCAGTGAGTGATGGTGCCTGGCTCTTTGGGGAGAGGTCTGTGATCACACCTAAGCAGCGGCCTCACCGGGAAGCCCCTGCCTCCCAAATAATAGGGGAGCCTCATCTAAGACTGAAGTTCTCCTGAGGACATGAACGGGAACTCTGCAAGAGCCCACCTGGGGCCTGGAATCGCTTCCAGTTTGGTGTAGTGGGTGAGCTGGAGGCTAAAAAACCATGAGCTACCTCACACTAACTCAGCTTAGAGGGAACAGTGGTGGTCACACCTAAGCAGCGACCTCACCAGGAAGCCCCTGCCTCCCAAATAATATGGGAGCCTCATCTAAGACTGAAGTTCTCCTGAGGACGTAAACGGGAACTCTCCAAGAGCCCACCTGGGGTCTGGAATCGCTTCCAGTTTGGTGTAGTGGTTAAGTGTGTGGGCTCTAATCTGGGAGAACCGGGTTTGATTCCCCACTCCTCCACTCGCAGCTGCTGGATGACCTTGGGCAAGCCCTAGTTCTGGCACAGCTGTCCTTGAAAGAGCAGTTCTCTCAGAGCTCTCTCAGCCCCACCTACCTCACAGGCAGTGTTCCCTCTAAACTGAGTAAATGTGAGCTCACTCACAGTTTTTTAGCCTCCAGCTCACACATTTCTGCCTTAGCTCAGGAAGGAGCACTCCTGAGCAAACTATTTCATGCAGCAGCCAAATCGCTCGCTCACAACTTTAATGCCAGTAGCTCACAAAGTAGTATTTTTGCTCACAAGACTCCACAGCTTAGAGGGAGCATTGCTCACAGGGTGTCTGTTGTGGGGAAGGGAAGGGAAAGGAGTTCGTAAGCCGCTCTGAGACACCTTTGGGTTATAAATCCAATCTCCTCCTCCCCCTCCTCTTTTCTTTTTCTTCTTCCACTCATGTCAGGAAGGCTGGCGTGGCCCCATCGTGATAGGCCACCGGTCAGATCCAGGCAGGTGCCTCCTCTGCTCTAAATCCCCACCCGGAGCGTTGGGCCCCAGGAGTCAGCGCTGTCTTGAGGCAGAGGCTTATTTGGCCTCCAGCTACGCCTGCCTCTGTGTGCCTCACAGTGTGGACAGCTAGGTTGTGGGAACGGAGCCAAAGAAGCAACGCCTTGAGGGAAAGGACTGAAAACTCCCAGAAGAGGCCAACCAAGGGTTGCTGACATGGGGCACGCAGCCCAATGTGTCCTGGCTAAATGTGTCATAAATGCACAAGTACTTACAAAGAACATGGACAACGTCCTCCGCGTATGCAGACGGTGCTGGAAACAAAGACAGAGAAGAAGCCGTTCAGCCCACGGCACGGATCACATGGGAGGAAAGGGCCAGGGCATCATGCAGAGAGCTCCCGAGAGGCTCTTTCCTTGGGAGAATCAGCGATGCTGATTCCGTGAACTGAAGCCGTTCATGAGAGGGGAGGCAGGAAGGGAGGAGCAAGTGCTCAGCTCTCGTGGCCCTCTCTTCCATGCCCAGGGTCATGCCGATCACCACTTTGGGGTCAGGAAGGAATTTCCCCCCAGGTCAGATTTGCCCAGGGATCCCGCAGGGTTTTTTTTTGCCTTCCTCAGGTCACTGGGGGAGTGTGGGGGGGGGAGGTAGTTGTGAATTTCCTGCATTGTGCAGGGGGTTGGACTAGATGACCCTTGAGGTCCCCTCCAGCTCTACGTTTCTATGAGAAGGGCGGCCAGTCTTTCTCTTTGGAGCACTGTCCTGTGGCGGGCACTGTCCAAGAGCGGAAGAAGAAGGGGAAGCCGCCCCCCCAGCCCACCCCGTGCCCCACAAAGGGACGGCTGTGGCATCCGCAGCCAACCGCCGCTCTGCTCGAGGGGAAGTGCCGCAGTAGGCTGGGAGAGGCTAGGTCTGATGTGGTCAAGTAGAGGCCTCGTGGTCAAGGCTTCCACTCACGAGGAAACACCTCGGGGACCCGCTTTGCAAAGCAGGCTGGAGGCGCTTACCCGGGAGCAGACCCAGAGGTCTCTTGGGGAGTCAGGAGGAAGTGAACCCTCTTTCGAACCAGGAACTGCACGAAAAGCTCAGCACCGTGGGCCAGCGGCTCCTCTCGGAACCTTGCGAGAACCATACGAGCTTTTATCTGGACACATCTGGGAGAAGATGACGCTGGGCGTGCGAATGTGCCCCTGAGTGCCACGCCCTGGTTATCCAAGCAGGGCGAAGGGCCTCGGACGGCGCCGGCCTTACCAAAGTCTGGTTAGCAGAGAGCATGGTGGGGTTGGTGCTGTCTCCTCGCAGAGGGATCAAGGGCATGGTGCCAAACTTCTGCTTGGCCAGGTCAGAGGAAGAGTGTCGGCGCAGGATCACTGGGCGGATGCCGTCGTGCTGGGGGAGGGGAAGAGAAGGAGAGAGGTTTCTCGCTGTTCCCGGCTGCCGCGGGCGGGTATACCCTGTCTCCTGTCAGCCACGGCGCATTTTTAGCTCGCCCAAGCTGGTTCGGTCCTTGGAGTCTCTGCATTTCCCCCATCTAAACACATGGATAGACCTGTGAACTTTTATCTCCTAATGGCCTGAGCTGAAATGTGGGGAAGCTTCCCCTCCCCACAGCCATTGGGTGAGATGCTGTGATGTCACAGAATGCCTGCACGCCGGTTTGTTGCTGAGAAGGGACTCTCAGGAGCTACTGTTTGCCCCGGGGAGGCAAACAGTAGCTCCACAAGGCCATTTGGGATTAGAAAAATAGGTAAATGTGGGGAAGCTTCCCCTCCCCACAGCCATTGGGTGAGATGCTGTGATGTCACAGAATGCCTACACGCCGGTTTGTTGCTAAGAAGAGACTCCAAGGCCATTTGGGATTAGAAAAATAGGTGTGTGGGGAGGGGCAGCAACTACATCCCTCCAGAGCAGCCCTTTTCTCCAGGACAACTGATCTCTGTCCTCTGGAGACCCATTGTCATCCTTGGACGTCTCCAGGCCGCACCTGGATGTTGGCAGCCCTACCAGGTAGTTAAGTTCATCCTGAGGCTTGTTACTTGGAAAAGAAATAGTTCTTTGTTGTTGTAGAGAGTTCCAGACAAGATAGGAAAGGCAGTGCAAAGGATTCTGTTTGTCTATCTAAGCTAGAATGCGGAGGGATTGTAGAAAGCCTTCCAGCCTTCCAGTGGTGGATAAAGGGAGACTAACAATGGGCCACTTTATTAACTATTTACACTTTTTGTGGCAAGGGCTCAGCTGGTTTCGACATCCTGGTCTGCTCCTCATTAATAGGACAGCACCGATGGGAGTTGTAGGAGCAGTGCTGATGAAGTTCCCCGGAAGTAGGTGGAGTGGGATGGAGGGTTGCCAGGTCCCCGCTGGCCACCAGCAGGGGATGGGGGCGTGTAAGGTTGCCAGATCCAGGTTGGGAAACTCCTGGAGATTTGGGGATGGAACTTGGGGAGGACAGGGACCTCGGTGGGGCACACTGCCATAGAGTCCCCCCTCCAAAGCAGCCCTTTTTCCCAGGGGAACTGATTTTTTTTTTTTGGGGGGGGGGGACACTCTAGGGAGGGCAGGGTTTGGGGAGGGGAGCAACCTCAGCAGGGTATATTGCCATAAAGTCCACCCAGTCTGAAGCTGCCGTTTTCTCCATGGGGAGATCCACTGTGGCCAGGAGATCTCCAGGTCCCACCTGGAGGTTGGTTGCCATAGATGCAAGAGATATGATTGCAAGTTGTGAGGAAGCTTCTCTGATGAACTTCCACAAGGGCACGCTCGCCCTCCATGGGGCCCCAGAACGGGGATGGGGGCGCGGAGGTCCAAAACAAGAACAGCTGCGGACTGCAACGCAGCTTCCTTCATCAGCGTCAGGAAAGGGGGAAAGAGGACACGCCTTCCTTTCCTCCTCTGTCCCCGCGGCTCTTAGGCTATTCAGCAGCAGCAGGGAAGAACACCCCCCCCACACACCAGTCTTCCCTCTAAGCTGAGTTAGCGTGAGCTAGGTCACAGTTTTTTAGCCTCCAGCTCACACATTTTCGTCTTAGTTCAGGAAGGATGGCTCCGGAGCAAACTAATTTATGCAACAGCCAAATCGCTCGCTCACAACTTTTATGCCAGTAACTCACAAAATAGAATTTTTGCTCACAAGACTCCACAGCTTAGAGGGAACATTGCCTCCCACACCAGCAATTACAGTCAGAAGTCCAGGCTACACAGCAGGTTTGCCTGAATCAAAGCACCACAATGAGGCAGTGGCGAGGGAGGGAAAAACGGGCATTTATGACCTTCCATCACCACCTAGTGGCCACTTAGGATATAGCCTCCGAAGCCCCTTTCCAATACTTTAAGTGGCTTTTTAAAAATCTGACTCTGCAGTTTGAGTGTCTGTGCAGACAGGCACAAAGGGAAACAAAGTTCTGGGACGTAGAAACCCCCACTATGGAGAAAACTTGACTTGG